TTCCATTTCAAATTTGAACAAAAGTGTATTTTAGCAATTACATGTTCATCATCAGTACACAATTGCACTTCAGATTCTTACTTTGCTCCATATCATAAGTTTTTTTATCCATTTTAAATCTTTCTGAAAACTGTAAATGGGAAAACCATTAACAACTACTGTATATCCTTCTGCCATTTGCTGCTGTCTTGATTTAATTTTATATTCCCCTTGGTGATTCTCCAATAATTCCTGGTATGTTAGCCAATTTGTTTCTCATCTGTAAAATGCTTTTTGTACTGAGATCCATAGAGGCGTTTTCAAAGTACAAGGACTGTAACAGCCACTATGTAGAATAGACAGGCAGAAGACTAGCAGAACACATCCATGAACACCAGCTAGCAGTCAGAAGACACAATGAAAACTCATTAATCTCACAACACATGGACAGATTGAACCATGGTTTCAACTGGGAAACTGTGAGCATCCTAGACCAAGCCAGATCCAAAAAATGCTAGGGAATTCCTGGAAGCTTGGCATTCAGACAAATCAGCCATTAATAGACACATAGAAATAAACTATATTTACGGACCATTCAAGAGACAACAAAAAGCTAAGAAGGAAACAACCCCTCCAGCAACCAACACCCAGATAAGCAGGAATTAATATCAGACAAACAATCAAGCAGAAAACAATACCCCAATTAAGGAACTACCAAAGAGAAAACCACATCCCCATCAATACTGGCAGGGCAAGCTACTGTATATAAACAGTCAGCATACCCCACACTCACTAGCACTGATGATGTTACCTAGTTGGGTAATGAAATGTCTGCAGGCAAACAACCAAGCTCAGAGAACACCAAGGACTCCATAAATCATAGTAACTGGATTTTGAATAATTGATTGGTAGACTTCATAAATTCTTAAAGATTGGTAGGTTCTTACTGGTATTGCTTGCAAATGTTCTGAGATAATTAAGATTACATGATCTCTAAAGAGACTGATTAGATGCTATTGATATTTGATGAGCTAATTATCTTGAATTTTGGAGGATAGGAGTTTCAAAACTAAGATGAATAATAATGGTGAAAATAGGCAGCCCTGCTTCTACCCTTACTTATTGAGAAATATTCTGAATTGCAAGAATTTGTCCAAATGAAAGCTATAGATTTACTGCTAAATTAGGCTAACCATTTTTTCTCCCATCTGATGCTTCTCCACCATTTTACATAATGGTGATTGAAGTTGGACAGAAGCTTTACAAATATCTAGGATTAATATAACCAGTGGGTTTTTAGATCATTTCTATCAAAAATACAATTTAAAATTCTTCTAATAGGATTTATTTATTTATCTGAAATAAGTCCATCTTGAGTCAAATTAATAGAATTTGCAATAAATTTCCTTAGCTTTTTGTCCAAGCAAACTGTAACAATCTTTTGATCTTGGTTCAAAAGTACAATTGGTCAGTAGGAGCCAACTGTCTTTGTTAAGTTTTTATATTATAACAAACCAAATGTAATGCAGTGATGTTATGTGTACATAACAACCAATTGTTTGTGGGTTGTTTTTTTGAAATAAATAAATAGCTGCAGTAATGCCATCAACTCCAGGGGACCTATTTAATTTCAGATCTCTAAATTACTTCTATTTCCTCCTTGGAGTATGATTGATTGAAACTCATTCTAAAAGCCTCTGATATAGGAGTGATTTTAAGAGTCTAGGAAATAATCTATTTTACTTAGGTCCATGTGTTGTGAAGAATAGCATAAAATTCTACAAACAATTTATTTATCGCTTTAGCTTCAGAATGTTTTCTGTTGCATTCACTAGGAGTGAGTTAATTTTCATCAGAACTAGTTTCTTTTTTAATTGATTTGCTAATAATTTAGATGTCTTTTGCTGTGCTTGTAACATTTCTGTTGAGTAAATATCAGCTTGGAGGCAGTGTTATTACTTTTCAGGATGTCTATCTCTCTCCTTCTAAATCAATTTTTCATGAATGTCTTCAGAGCCTAAATTGTGATACCATTCAACTATCTCCCTTTAGAGAAGCTTGAAAAAGGCTGATGCTTTCTTTTTATAAGAAAGTTAACTCAGTTATACATTCTATATGCATGTATAAATATATACTGTACATTTAGAATATAATTCTAAATATTACTTTCATTTCAGACAACAGCCAGTGGCTCTACTGAAGAACAATTGAGTTCAAAACATTGCCTAAATGAGTTGGCTTTTTTTTTTTAGGAGAATCTCTATTCTCTATCAGTATTGGGTTAAAAAGCTAGCTAAGGCATTTTTATTTTAAATATTTTTCTTGCCCATACTGCAGCTAGACACTCTTTTTCACAGTTGCTGCACCCTTTTTTGGATTCAATCATTATCAGTAAACAATTGATATTCATTTATAGGTGCCAGTTTCCCCATTTAATTTTTTGATTAACAGCACCGTACCCTGAGCATCCTTATTCTAACCAGTTTTGATATAAAAGCTTTGAGTTGAATCAGGATATTACAATGCAACATTACAAGAGCTTTCAACTATTGGAAAGTTTGTTCTGTAGATTATCTTAGTCCTAGTTTTCATTCAGTTTAATTTTTTTTTCTCATAGTTGTTTGGTTACATTGAACAGTGAAATATTTTTGGTAGCTTAGGAATAAATGTTAGGAAATGTATAAAAAGGTATGAAATCACAGAGATATATATTGTACCTGGTTGGACAAGGGGGGGG